GGAAGGATGAACTCTATCCCAAGTGAGATGGAGGACTGCATGTCTCATCCAGATGGTGATTTTTTTTAATTTTTTTTTTTTTTAAGGCAGGAGAAAATAAGCAGGTGTGAGTATGGGGCCTACCTGTATTGGTTTTAATCAGCAACTTTAAGCAAACTCAGTGTTCTCATCAGAAAAGGGGAAAAATAAACAGCTGAGCACTGTGGTTCATTTACACTTCAAATATACTTTGAGTTGGTTATTCCTCAATTAATCAAATAGCTGGTGTATCCCTAAAGTAGTATAAAGTGACACGCTGTGTGAAATCAATTTTCCCTTCCAAAATCATTAAATTCAGTAGCCTGTGACTACATCCCTGCTAATTCTAGTACCAGTCCTTTCATCCTCCATTAACTTTGGCACGCCTAACAGGCTGTCAAAAATAATTTCCCAGAACGTAAATAATTCAGAAATTAAAAATTAATAAATAATAACAGAGAGCTACTGGGAGATAGACTGGGTCAATTAGTCAGCTCTGCATTCTGTTTCTTCGCAGCAGGGGGGCAGCCACATTCGTTACTAGAATCTTTCCTCCGATTCCTGGGTCTGATTTACGGCTCTTCATTACTGGATCCAGTCAGACACAATTACCTCCATCACTATCTCAGTTCCTAACTTCAAAGAAACACACATTTTCTTGTCTGCTTTTTTTCTCCTTGCAGCAGCCTCAGCTTGACGTCCCTGGAATTTCTTCCACGCGGACTAATTAATAAGACTTTGACTTATCATATTCACTTCTCCTCTTTGATGTCCTACCTTAGTCAATCATCCTATTTAATTAGAATTTCAATGATAACTTTACTTATCTCATGGCTAGATGTAAATTAAAATAACGGGATTTTAATTCTCTTTCTTACAGGGTTATGACATTTCTGACAGAAAAAGTTTCAACCCAAATACGATATTATGTACTTCCTATGCTAGGAGTGCATTCCACTAAATTGTTTTTCCCTTTGCTACAAAATAATTTTGCTTGTTTAACAAGCTCCACTGAAATGGAAATGAACTACAGTTTCTCATAACGTAATTTGCACAGGGCTATGTTGTAGAAGGTTATGTTGATAGAAATTAATATAATCAGATTATGACACATGCTACATAGTTAACAAGGGGATGGGAATTTTAAGAAAAAAATTAGCTCTGGAGAGACAGTGGACCATAGGACCTCTTCTTTCTCTTCTTTCCAGCAGTTGCTAGTACTTTTCCAAGGTTTCTTCTTTCCTTTCTGCATTTGCAGACTTAATCCTGCTGGTTGTACCCAAGCAGCACCAGAGGCTGGATTCTGATTTCATTGAGACATTTCTAAAATACATGCTGTTCACAGAAATGGTATTGTGGCTGTAGCTTAACAGGAACAGCATATCCTCCAGCTATCATTTTTTCCCTCTCTGCAGTACCCAGTATGTGCTTGCACACAGGCTTGCGTTCCTTCCCATGCCTCTTAAAATTTGCCAGTCTAGGTTGGTACGACAGCAAGTGAATATTAGTGAAAACATCTCTCATTTTTTAAATGAGAAACTTATGGTGGAGAAAAGCCCTGGAAGGATCCATGAAGAGAAGTTAATGGAGCAGTGGAGTCCTCCTGAGGTCTAGTAGATTCCTGGAATCTACCAGGAACCTGGAAGTGGCACAGAAGGCAGAGGAAAGTAAAGGGGATCCAGTCGGGCTTATCGAGCCTTATGCATTTTGGAACTCTCACTCTTACCGTGTTGGAACTTTCCATGTGACCAAACAAATGGTCATGCACATAGATGGAGGCTTCCAGAGAAATAAGAGAAAAGGAGAGAACCATTTGGAAAAGAAAGCAAGGATGGTCAACATAGCAAGAATTGGTCTTAAACTGTGAACAAAGCATTCTTCTGGTGCAAAAACCAGAATACGGTGACAACTTGCTGGCTAGTGCAAAATGCAGTATATTAGCAAACTGCCATCAGAGATGATTATCTTCCTAGTCATATCTGGTGGAAAGGAGGTTTCCAGTTTTGCATTGCCAATAAGCAAGAAGACCCTGGAAACCAACCTCCAGTTTTCTTAAGAAAAAAGGCCCACATCCTCAGGACCTTTGCTTTCACTGACATCCTAGAAGGTGAAAAATAGATTTTGTAGGCTGCCACTGTTACTTTTCTGCATTGTTGGGTTGTGCATTTGCTAACCCATCCCCTTCGTTGTATTCAAGGAAAGAAGAAAATGCATAAAGAGGTAATGAGACATATTGGACGTGGAAAATAACTGCTCCCAAAAGAGACGATTTGGTCCTGTGAAGAGGTAGGAGAAGCATAGAACATGAGAGAATCACTTGACTAGGACTAATCTGTACAAAAGGGGCTTTGTGAGCTTCTGCTTCAAATCTTATGTCCACATTAGATAGCATTAAACCAGTTGTCAATGAGCTAACATTTCTAGATGCTGTGAAGAGCCGTTTGCCCAATAGCCCTGTTCATCTTTCAAAACAAACTGAGAATGCTTGAAAAGCTAGGCCAGTGCATCAGCAGAAGAGAACTGCTGGGATTTAATTGACAGCTTCTAAAATTTACACCAGTTTAGTTTAAAGGCCAAAGCAGGGTAAATTCAAAAAAATATTGATAGTGTTCTTCAATAATAGAAGAGTTACCTGTTGCACTGACAACATCTAAACTATTCTATCATAAATTTAATAGTGTTGTTCTTTAACAATTGGATTCTGTTACACTTTCATATTTAGGCATGATTATTTAATCTAATTTAATTGGCTTTCCTATTCCCCTCAGGGTTCTAGGCCTAGAAAGTTCATATTAAATACTCTAATTGCTCTGAAATTTACTCGTCATCTGAAATATGCTCCTATTTTAAATATACCCTAAAATCTAGTTCATACATATTTTCTCTTCTTTCATGAAAAAGAAAAAAAAAATCCTGGTGTCCATAATTTGCACTTTAAAAAGAGTCAATAATGAACCAAAATAATAATTATAAATTGAAAACAGGGAGGCTGCAGTACAATGAACTGTGAGTTTCAAACCCATAAATAAGGCCAGAAGGACACATCAAAGCTTTCTGAGCACCCGCTACTCTCCAAAAGCAAAGCTGAAGCCACTAATGATGGCAGCAGCAGCACCCTGCATATTTAATGTGTGGGTCCCTGGTTGTCATTGTGGAACATTGCTCAGGTCAGTGGAGCAACAGAGCATTTCAGGGCTCACAGAGGGTGGGCCCAACCCCATCCCCCTTGCAGATGGTGGTTTCCCATTGACGCCATATGAAAATCTTTTCTCAGGGATCTACCAGAGGCTATTAAATAGATTTCAGAGAATATTCTGAGTTGGAAGGGACCCACAAGGATTGTTGAGTCCAACTCTTAAGTGAATGGCCCCTACAGGGCTCAAACCTACAACCCTGATGTTATTAGCACCATGCTCTACCCAACTGGGCTAATCTCAAAAGTCAGAAAACGTGACCCAGATCAGGAAACTTGTATCATGCTGACAGCTGAACGCAGGGAGGGTGTATTAAGGGAAAGATCAGCTAGCTGTGTCCTGTCTCCCCGATGCTTTTTATTAGGTACCTGTGGCTTGGATATAGTATTTTGAGTGAGGTGGACCTTTGACCTGACCAACAGAGAAAGTTTTATATCTTCTTGCTCCTACTTAAGCATCTGCCCTGGAGCACATGAAACAGTGAGTACACGTTTTGGTAAACAGGCACAAGGCTCTTTCATCCAAGGCTCTGAGTGCAGTGCTGGCACAGCCAGGGGGTGTCAGACAAACACGGGTACTGTGTTGCTCTCCACAGGGCCCAGTTTTGGGATCAGCCTTTCAGCCTGGTGCAGCATCTGGGAGGGTATCTTAAGGGGAATGGAGCATGGCAAGGATATCCCTATGGTGCTCCAGGTGTGGCATGCAGGGGATTCTGGCAGGAGAAGGGGCACAGCCTTCAGGGAGACCAGCTTTTCCAAATGGTGGAAGTTTTGCGTAAAACACACAGCTTCCAGGTGTGTTACCTGCTGGTTTGGCATGGAAAAGCCATGTATGAATGACTTGTAATTCGGAGCTTAGAACAGCACCCTGAGAAACGGCTTCTGGGCCCATAGCTACATAACTACCATAACGAAGCACAAAACTTTTTTCGGTAAAACGCACAATAAATAAAACGGGGGGGGAAGGGGGCGGGCGGGGAAGCCTGTGCAGAGAAACCCTGGGAAAAGTGGAGCGTCCGCAGCAGAAAGGATTCTTTCGTGCTTCACCGTGACCCCCATCATCCCCACCGCTTCCAGCGCCGCTGCTGCCGCCGAGCGGAGACCCGCCCCACTTTATCCGTACAACATGGCTCCACCCTTGCACCTCCTCTCCGTACAACATGGCGGCGCCCACACGCCACCACGGCCGGGAGACGAATGGCAGTGGGTGTGTGCCGCTATTCCTTCCGGGTTCCAGCGCGCAGCTCTTTCAGTGTTGCCCCACACGTTTCCGCTTCCTCTTCCGGGTCCGGCGGCTCCAGGTATGGCGGCGCGGGCCGAGGGCTGTGCGCGTCCATCCGCCCCCATCCGCGGCACGGCGGGTGGACAGGGAGACCAGAGGCCCCAGGGGGCTGTGCAGAGGGACCAGCGGCGCCGTTGCCGCCCGCGCTTGGGCTGGGGGTGCGGCAAGAGCTGCCCGATGGAGAGGCCGGGCCTCCCCAGCAGGGCCCGCGTCTCCCGGGCCCCAGTGAGTGGCTGCGGTCTGTGCCTGGGCTGTTACTAACACAGCTTGCTCTCAGATAAGACAGGAAACCGCGCGGCTTGCTGCAACTCAATCTGCGGCCTTGCCAGTTGGTTATAAAATACGTAGCTTATAAAATTATCTGTGCGGTGTAAGTATGAGCCTGACTGGTGTAAGGGTTTTCATCTACAGCAGTGTTTTTTCAGCACACAGAGCCTTTTCAGGTAATATAATATGCCTTTTTATTGGCAAGTTCAGGTTTGAACAACAGGATTATAAAGTCCGAGGCTTATGTTGATTATAAAATATGTAGCTGCTAAAGCTTTAAGCAGTTTCTTCGGGAAGCGTGACATCACGTGGGCAAGACCAGGATATTGAGCAGTGTGCAAGTTAGTTCAAATGGATCCTCATTGCAAACTATGCTGTACCTGCTGTCGTTTGTTTTGTTGTTTTTTTAATTGTGTTGACTATCATTGATGAGGAGATGCTCGAATTTTATTACTGCAGAATGGACAGATCCTAATTTACACCTGGAGCACAGGTGGTGCTGTGATACATGAACTTCTATGTGGATATCCAACCCTTAAACTAGTGCTGCTTTGTTTTTGGCTTCCTTAGGTTTAAAAAATGGTTCAGCGCCTGACCTACCGCCGTAGGTTGTCCTACAACACAGCTTCCAACAAGACCAGACTGTAAGTAAGACAGTTTCTAAGAAAAATGACATTGTAAGAAGGTGATGGCTAAGTTTTGGTTGTTACATTAACTGAGTGTTTTTTCTGCTGTGCTCAGGTCCCGAACACCCGGGAACAGGATTGTTTACCTTTACACCAAGAAAGTGGGAAAGGCACCCAAGTCAGCATGTGGGATATGCCCAGGAAGGCTTCGTGGTGTAAGTATGAGCCTGGCTGGTGTAAGGGTGTTTCTCCATAGCAATGTTTTTTCAGTACAAAGAGCCTTTTCAAGTAGTGTGATATGCCTGTTTATTTGGTGAGTTCTTGTTGTAATAACTTCTTTAAAATATTTTTGTTCAAATAGGGTAAGATTTAGCTGATAAAATGAGATTTGGAAGCTCAAACAGCAATTGCTTTTTAATGCTTGAGATTCTTGTTACTGTTACATTTAAACCCCATTGTTTTATAACATGTAACTGAAATTTTGAAGCTAGACAAGGTGATTCTGTGATTTAAAAATCTAAATTGGATCTGTTAGACTTGCAAAAAAAAAAAAGGGTAAGCCAAGCTTTAGGAAACTTTAAGGAATTAATGTTTTTAGCCTGATATTTTTCTTCCAAATGATTTCTTGATGTAACATCAATGCTTTTAACAGTTATGGAATGCTTGAGTAATGTCTATCTTTGAGCAATTCCTTGGGAACCCTTGGGAAAACAGTCTTTTACTATAAACAGTTTTTTTACAAACCTGTTGGTGAAACCCTATGATAGAATAAAAAGATCAGCTTGGGAGTGCTGAAGGTGGCACATACAACGAGCTGTGACTTCAGTCACTTCTTAGTGTCTTGAATATCAAGTCAACTTCAGGTCCTGCTGCTTTTTCTTTAAAACTATGAAAGTGATGTTGTTTTTTATATGGCTGTTACCCAAAATCCCTGTCTTATGATACCCTTCCTGTTTTTACTCTCCATAGGTCCGTGCTGTACGCCCCAAAGTTCTCATGAGGCTGTCCAAAACAAAGAAGCACGTTAGCAGGGCCTATGGTGGTTCTATGTGTGCTAAGTGTGTCCGTGACAGGTAAGCTTACAGAAAGGGAACTTCACTCTTGAGGTTACCTCGTGTGAGATTTTTACATCTCTCTGTGTTTTCGTAATGTGGACTAAAATTTTGAAGACTCTTGTCTGACACTGGTGTAGTGAAATGGAGAGGGTCAGCTTGGAGCATGTGAGCAGCAGTGTCTGTCCCTGTCCTTTGGACTGAGCTACTTACTGTATATGAAGCTGCTTTGTAGAGACCTCATGTTCTTCGTGATTTTATACTGTGCTGCTACTTGGGTGCTAAAGTCTGCTCATGCAGGATTTTTGTTTTGTGTTGAGCCCCCATAAACTTTTCTCGTCTGTTGTCCTATTCTTTTGTCTTACACAAAGTTACTAGTGCAAGTTTAGTTGAATTTCTCACCTCTTTGTAGTGTTTTGGGGTTCAGAGATATTATTTGGTTGCATGTTAAGCATCTTTATGTGATTAAGCTTTAAGATGGCCTTTGCTGGGCCTCACTAAATTCAGTTTTATTGTATAACAGCTGTACATCCTATACTTCCTTGACAAAAGTTTGAGGAAAAATGTATGACAAAAAATTATGTCAAATTTTGTCATCTCCGTGAATGGCAACCAAAGCAGATCTCCAGCGTCAGCAGTCTAATGACAGTGGGGTTTTTTGGGTTTGTTTTTGTTGGGTTTTTTGGGTGGTGGGGGTTCTTTATTTGGTTGGTTGATTGGTTGGTTTTTTTGGCACGTGGGAGTTCTTAAATTGCATTAGGTGCTACTGAAGATGAGTTGTTACAGCTGCAGATCCATAGCATAACTTTACTGTGTTGAAAACCAATTTTTTTTTCCCTGAGTGTTTTTCCAAACACTTAATGAGCTTGATAGGTATTTTTTAGTGCATGAGTATGTCTTATTCCTATTCTGCCTAAACCAAAAAACACAGCTCCTTCCCTGTAATGGTTGGGTTTTCTCCTGTGCCTGCTTAGGCGTCTCTGGTAGGTTTTAGGTACTGCAAAAGTAGCCATATATACCAAATGCATATGAAAGGTACTTTTCAGTGTTCAGAGGTAGAAAAGTGAGTATGGTGTATTTGTGTTTTAACTCAAAACCATCAGATAGGCCATTGATATATGAGTACTGTTGCATAGGTCTGTCCATCTGCATGCTGGCCCTGCATATCTTCCAGAAATAGCTGAATTTGGGCATGACTTGACCTGTTAGGATTTTCCCTGTTGATGTGCAAAAGAGCTTTAATCCTGACAGAGGAACTGTTCCTGGTTTTGATAACTGGATGCACCTAGAGTTTACCATAGTTCTGTGGAAGAGGACTGACCATGACTGATCACACCAGTGACGACTTAGCAGCTAAATTAACTTGCCAGTTAGGAGTTCTGCTTTTTGCTCTCAGATTGGTGAAGACAGTAACTTTCCCAGTGTTCAGCCATTGGGTATTACCTTGCTTGCCTACAAGCCACTCACCTTAAATTTGTAGGCACAGTAGACCTTCTTCCCCGAACCACTACATTCATCCAGTGCCACTGTCCCTGTCTCTTGCTGCTGGCAAGGACATGGACAGTTTCCCTTTTTGCGTAATTGTGGAACCAGCACGACATATGCAATGATGTTGGAGACTACAGAATTAATTGTAACTTGTGTTATTTTTGTGGGTTTTACTGAGGTAGGTAGATACATGTCCTTAAGTTGTTTTTCTTTTCCAGGATCAAACGAGCTTTTCTTATTGAGGAGCAGAAGATTGTTGTGAAAGTACTGAAGGCACAAGCACAGAGCCAGAAGTCAAAGTGAATCTATTTGTAGTTTCATCCCAATAAATGAAAGCTCCACTTCTCTTGTGTCCTGTCATTCCATGTTCTGTTCAAGGCTGGTAGGAGCTGCTTCTCACAGCTTGTAGAATTCAGAACTGGGTTTTGGTGCAACAAAACCCGTAAGTCAGGATGCTCTGTTCTGTGCTGTGTGCTACAGGGAAATCAAGCAGGTGGAAGGAGGTCTGGTTAAACAGGACTCCCAGCTCTGCCCCTCAGTCCTGTGGAGGGATTGGAGTAACTTCGAGCAGTGCAGGTTTTATTTCTTTATGGCAACAGCTGTGTATGAAGTCATCAGAGAACTTGGCTCAGAAGAAAGTTTGGACTCTGAAAAGGCGACGCAAACCATCAAAAGGCTGGAAGAAAGATTGTCAGGTGAAGAAGAGGAGAGCTAGTGTAGGCCTAAGGTAGATAATTTTTTTTTAATCGTATGTGATACATTTACCATTACTTGAATCTGAAGGGGAGGAATAGTCTTGACTTCTCAATACCATTGCTGTACCCACTAGCAACAGTTGCACACTGCTACATCTGAATCTCCTGGAAAAAAGCTGTGGCTGCTGTATCCTGTTCTTTGGGTGCTTCCTGGGTCAGCACTTGGAGGTATGATACCAGCAGAGCTCCAGGGTGCAGCTAAGGCAAACCTTTAATGGCTTCCACATTAGGTTTTAGAGGAGCAATTTAGGCCTCTGGTATTGAAACTTGAACCAAAATTCTGCTGGTTTATCACCAAGGATGTAATGGTAATGTAAAAAGTGAAAATGGCTTTGCTTCGTTCTGTTTTGTAGAGAGCTCTAAATGTGTCTCTAATGCTATCCAGGAGTGCTTTAACACACTCAGGATAATTCTTGTGTTACCTGTGGGTACAGTGGTATTCCTTGCCCCCAGCTCTGAATTTTTAATTGCTTTTAGTATCTGACAAGAATGTATTTTTATCTATTTTTACCAATAACTTTTTTCAAAAAGTGGTAAGTTCCACCATGAGAATAAGAAAGGAGGAGAAACAATTACTGAGTGCAGAGATTTAACTGGGAGCAGTGAGGATGCCATTGCAAGAGGTTTCTAAAGTCACATGTGGAGTGGTCAGGCTGTGGCTCTGAGGGATGTGTGCAGGTCCCTCCTACCTCATCACACTGCGCCCAGCTCTGCAGCCTGTTAGGCTGTACAGTCAGCCAAGAAACAAAGGACAGCAGACTGAGTTGGTGGAAAGCCCTGCCCTTTGGTGGCAGCAAGCTGGTGGTTTGGGTGAGGTGCCTGCCAACTCACAGCTGCCTCCTGGGTGTGACACCAGGAGGTGGCTATGATCCAGGGAATCTGACTTAACATCGTGCATGGTGAAAGGAGCTGTACCTCCCCAATAATTTTTTCACGGTGTCCCAAGTTCTTAAAAAGATTCTGTCAGTGTTCTCAAAATAAATGTTGCAGCTTTAAGTTATGAAGCGTTTTTCCTCAGCTTGGGTTATGCTAAAACTTGTTGCAAAGGCTACTGTAGCTAATTAAAGGAGGTTTATTTAAGACTAACATTAGTACCCTGACATTTTTAGGTGCCGTTACTATAGTTTATGAAGTTAAAATTTTATTAGTTGTCTTCCTGTGTTAGTACAAACTTCAGTACTTCAGCATGCTGGAAAAATTTTTTTAAAGCAGAAGCAGCAAGTAGGGCAGGCATGTCTAACCTGCCCCAAAAGTGCTCTTGTTTTGCTTTAAAAGCTGTGAGATTAGAGTTTTCCTTCAGGCTCTTGGAAAGGATGCAAGATGGAGGGAGAACACTTTCGGAATAATGAGGGTAAGAGTTATAAATGTCTGTTGACAGGCACAGAGGGAGATTTTCTCAAACAGAAAGGCCAACACTAAAAATAGCTAATTATATATTACATGATTGCACTGAGAGACAGCAGTTCTGAGTTAGAAGTGGTATTGCTGCTGTTGGCAGAAATAAAAGCAGTCGTTAGGCAAAATGTCAGCAAAATGGTAAGAAGGCTCTTAATTTCTTTTTTAGCAGTTTGAGCAGACAGTGCCGTGTGGGTATGGGGGCGGTCATTTGGGGCAGGGCTGGGCAGTGGGAAGTAGGCTGGATGGCTTGGTGAGGTGGGGCGAGTTCAGCTGGAGCACGTGCTTTTAAATGCGCTCCTGTAACCTGGAGTGAAGGGCTCTCCCCTGCGCCTTCCATGAAGCAAGAGGAACTAGACAAGCTTCTGCTGAAAATAGGGAGTTTCTTCCCTATGTCCTGCCTGGTGTGGCTGGTCTGGGCTGATGAGGTGCTTGCATGCTTGCAGAAGTGTGTGAGCTGATCTGTAATGCACAGGTAACCCGGGTGCTCTCAGCAGCTACTGCTGGACTGTGCCTTTTCTCCCTGGTCTCGCTGTGCAGCTGTCGGGGTCTTCTCTGGCTGCAGGTCAGGATGGGCACCACATCCACCACATCCCAAGGTGCGGGCAAGGGGCATCCCAGCCCCACTCTCCCTGCACAGGGACTGGGGTGAGGCTACTGTGGATTTTGTTCTGTTCCCCAGTGTCGAGCGCCGGTGTTCCCGCCGGGCACACGCGTGTGCCTATCCCGGCCCCGCGGCACCGGGACCCGCCGGGTGGACACGTGGCTGCCCGGGTCGGGGGCGGGGCCCGCGCACCGACCACGCCTCCGACCACGCCCACCGCCCCGAGCCGTTACTCGGCACCGACACGTCAGGTCTGCCGGGTCCCGGCAGGTGAGTAAGACAGATAGATCATCCGGCAGAGGGTGGGCAGCTTTTCCGATGTTTTTACGCAGAAAAAAAAACCTTATCTTTTTTTTATGCCTATAATTTCCGTCTGGGCATAGATTTCGAGTGATTTGTTTAGTTTGTAGTTTTTAAATTTGTCAATTTTCCCCTGTCAGGACGCGGCAACCCATTTCCGCTTCCGCTTTCGTGTCCGGCCGCGGAGGGTTCGGCGGCGGCGGGACGGGTCGGGCAGGGAGGGAGGGAAGGAAGGAAGGAAGGAAGGGAAGAAGGTAAGGAGGTAAGGAGCAGCGGCGCTGCGGCTGCCCCTGGGACCGCACCGCCGCCATGGAGACTCTGTACCGCCTGCCCTTCGCCGTGCTCGAGTGCCCCAATATCAAGCTGAAGCGGCCGAGCTGGGTGCACATGCCTTCGGCCATGACCGTGTACGCGCTGGTGGTCGTGTCCTACTTCCTCATCACCGGAGGTGAGGCCGCGACCGGCAGGGCGGGCGGGAGGCCTCGCTCACGGAGCAACTCTTCCTCGGCCCCTGCCCCGGGCGGCGGAGCCGCCGCTGATCCTTGTCCAGGTCCGACCCTCGGCCAGCCCCGGGCGTCCCTGCGAGGTCAGGGCCGTTCTCGCTGCTGCGTGTCAAAGACGGTGCTTGCTTTCCTTCCCACAGGAATTATCTATGACGTGATTGTGGAGCCTCCCAGTGTGGGGTCGATGACAGACGAGCACGGACATCAGAGGCCGGTGGCCTTTCTGGCATACAGGTAGGAGCAGAGCCCTGTCCTGCAGATGCCCAAGTACAGGGGGAATAAACGCCGCCTTACGGAGCTGTGCATCTGCTTTTTTTTTTTGCTTTTTCATTTGAGCTCTCTGTGTAAGGCAACTGTTCTATATCAATTCTTGGTTTGCAAGTACTTAGAAAAAAAAAAAGACGAGCATTGAAAACAGTTGAAATTGAAAAGCCTAGTCCTAAAACTTTAAAAAATGAAACTCTGATAAAAAAAAATGTTTTGAGCTGGCAATACTTCTGTTTCCCGCTGTTCAAGTTGAGTTTTATAGTGGATACAGATACATTTGATGGTTTTTCATAGCAGCACACATGATGTTTGTGAAATTTCTGGTTCTGGCCTTTTAAACTCCAGTGTAGTTGGGACTCTTGTGTCTGAGGGTGGGGAAAATAATTACAAGTATGCAACAACAGTGTCTTCTTGGAGTCTTTTACTGAAAACAATCTAGAGACTCTTGGTAACAGATTGGTCTGAAGACAGTTGAATGCACGTTTGTAGCCATGGGTATTTTATGTATGTGGTAACAAATACCAAAAACATTGTTTGAATCTGTGAGGTCTGTGTCATGCTTTGTGTGCAGATTTTGACTTGGACTAGATACAGTACATATTTCAGACTGGCTTGGATTGTTCCAGCGCAGATGAATCTGGCTGCTGCAGGGAGTTGCTTACACTTTAGCCCAAGTCAGTGTAAACAACATGAAAGAAGACCAACTTTTTTGTTTTCAGGATATGAGGCATTAATGATAATCTTTGTTTATGTATTAGCATGCATAGTTGTTTCATCAATGCCAGTTTTATGAGATTACTAGTATTGTTAATTACAAGGATAGGAAACTGGTTTGGTGACTGTGGGAAGCAGGAGATTTGTGATCCAGGTGCAATATCCTTTCTGCACCCTGTCATCTCCTCTCTCCACCTGAGCTTTGTCAGAAGGAATTCTGACTGTCTGGACTGACAGAGAGCTGGGACACCCTTGGGCTGGGTCCCTGCAATGGATATGTGCAGCCTCAGCGAGCAGGGAGCGAAACATCCTGCAGGCAGGAATTGCTGTGTGCTGGAACCAGCATGTGCTTCATATGCTGACATATTGCTCTGAGTGGGATTTGTCCGGGGATAAGGACTCAGGCACTGTGCCTAAACATTGGGATGGAAATAGGAGGATCATGGTTCCATGCCTTGAACCATCTGTGTAACTAGGGACTTCTTTGGAATAGATATTTCTGAAAACTGATGAGCCTGTGCAGTAGCCATTAGTGTACACTACTATATGTAAATCCACTGGTGTGTTTGGCTGGCCACCTTGCAGACTGTCAGTCCTGGAGATAAGTTACATATTGAAGTCTTGATGCAATTGTATAAAGTTGGTTTCCTGCTTACTTTTAGTTAGAAAGTCAACCATCAAAATTAAACATGCTATGTGTTTGTACAGCAAAAGCAGGTTGACTAGATGGGATTTGAAATGTAAATGATTTCTTTAATCTTTTTCTGGTTTCTCTTCTTCCCTTCACCCTTTTTTTTTCCTTTAGAG